TCAAAAGCATCAAGTCTTCGGTGCTCAGTTTTCTTTATAGCCCAACTCTCACATCCACACATGACTACTGGAAAAAGCATAGCCTTGACTAGAAGGACCTTTGTTGACAAAGTAATGTCTCTGCTTTTTAATATGCCATCTAGGTTGGTCATAACTTTCCTTCCAAGGAGTAAGCGTCTTTAAATTTCATGGCTGAAGTCACCATTTGCAGTGATTTTGGAGCCCCCAAAAATAAAGTCAGCCACTGTTTCCACTGTTTCCCCATCTATTTGCCATGAAGTGATGGGACCAGATGCCATGATCTTAGTTTTCTGAATGTTGAGCTTTAAGCCAGCTTTTTCACTCTCCTCTTTCACTTTCATCAAGAGGCTCTTTAGTTCTTCACTTTCTGCCTTAAGGGTGGTGTCATCTGCATATCTGAGGTTACTGGTATTTCTCCTGGCAATCTTGATTCCAGCTTGTGCTTCATCCAGCCCAGAGTTTCTCATGATGTACTCTGCATATAAGTTAAATAAGCAGGGTGACAATATACAGCCTTGACGTACTCCTTTTCCTATTTGGAACCAGTCTGTTGTTCCATGTCCAGTTCTAATTGTTGCTTCCTACTTGCATACAGGTTCCCAAAGAGGCAGGTAAGGTGGTCTGCTATTCCCATCTCTTTCAGAATTTTTCCACAGTTTGCTGTGACCCACACAGTCAAAGGCTTTGGCATAGTCAATAAAACAGAAATGGATGTTTTTCTGGAACTCTCTTACTTTTTTGATGATCCAGAGGATATTGGCAATTTGATCTCTGGTTCCTATGCCTTTTCTAAAACGAGCTTGAACATCTGTAAGTTCACATTTCATGTATTGCTGAAGACCTGGCTTGGAGAATTTTGAGCATTACTTTACTAGCATGTGAGATGAGTGCAATTGTGCGGTAGTTTGAGCATTCTTTGGCATTGCCTTTCTTTGGGATTGGAATGAAAATGGACCTTTTCCAGTCCTGTGGCCACTGCTGAGTTTTCCAAATTTGCTGACATATTGAGTGTAGCAGTTTCACAGCATCATCTTTAAGGTTAGGGTTAGATGTGTTCAATATCAGAAAGTAATGACACAACTGTTAAGGATCACAGCAATTCTGAGGAAAGAATACAATAAAATGCTCATCTTCTACAGCTTCTTCCTTGTAGCCAGAGGGCTAATATTTAATCTGGTCCTAGGCATTTGAGTTCCGTATTTAAAACTCTCTTTTCTGTGTCCCTAACTGTATTTGAAGTACATTACCTTTTTTCTTAGCAAAGAAAGAATGACCTGGTTAACCACCCCCACCCCCACCATTAGATGAGGGGTGGAGACTAATCCAGGGACCCACCATTAGACTGAAAATGGAAACTAATATATATACCCAGGAATCCTTCATTAGACTATGTAGCAGAGACCAAGACAGACCCAAGGATCCCCCAGGAATCCTCCACTAGACTACAAGTGGAGGCCAAGAGAGACCCATGGATCCTCTACTAAACTAGAAGTAGAGACCTAGGTTTTAGTCCCAGTTCTATCACTGTATGCTTGTGTGACCATAAGCATATCCCTGAACCATTCTAAGCTTCAATTTCTTCATGTAAGACTGATTTCTAAAGTATCTTCCACTTTTCAATTGATGTTTGCCTTGTCTTGTTGTAAATAGCTAAAAAGATGCTTTCTTTGGCTCTCATGGACACTATGATGTTTTCTTCCTAATTTAGTTTGAAGGGCTTCAAACAGAAGACCACTTGTCTATTTTCTTTGTGCCTTATTCATCTATATTGTGCTCTCATAAACCGAGAATTTTTTTCTTCTCTGGTTCTTGGTGTGTTGAAAACTCGTCATCAATGGGCTGGGTAGCCACTGTGACCATAACTGATCCACGATTGTGATTATAAGGCAATTTTCTAGAATGGCTTGGGTGCATATGCTTTTTCTTTAAAATCGTGGATATCTGAAAGTAATTTAACTTTTATACCTTCATAAGAATTTTCACAGAAATACCATTTTTGTTGTTGTCAGACCATGTTTCAGTGACTGCGAGAGAGGAATGGCTTGGAAAACAAACATCATTCTAAAGCACCAAGCATCACCCCTACCTCATCTTCCCAGTATAACTCTAAGTTCTGCCGTCTCAGAAATCATAGAGCAAAATTTAACAACTGTAAAATCTAGGTGGTGAATAGATGTTTTCACTGTACAATTCTTTCAATGTTTTTGTATCTTTGAAAGTTTTCATAAAACATGTGGAAAAAGCATAAAGAAAGGATGAATTCCTGGGCTGGGCAGTGGGGCCTGGCCTGGGGACGGGAGAACTGATCATTCTCAACATGACCTGGAAGGCAGCCTCTCTGCCTTCTTCCTGGAGACTTGCCCTTTCTTTCCTCACTCCAATGAGTGATGTGATAAATTCACTGAGTGTGGAGAAGGAAATGGCAACCCACTCCAGTACTCTTGCCTAGAAAATCCCATGGCTGGAGGAGCCTGGTGCAGGCTACTGTCCACGGGGTCGCAAAGAGTACTCTACTCAATATTCTGTAATGGCTATTTAGGAAAATAATCAAAGAGTGAATAAATTGTGTGTGTGTGTTTGTGTACAACTGATTCACGCTGCTGTATACCTGAGACTAAAATAACACCGAAAATCAACTATACTCCAATAAAACATTAAAAAAATAAATAGAGAGTGGAGTCTAGGATCATAGCTGATGAGATGGGTCTCCCTGGCAGTACCTCCCACCCACCCATTCTGCAGCACTTAGCTACCTACTGCTCATGGACACCTCACTGGCCCAGGAGAGGGCTTTTGAACACTTGTCTTTAAAACTTAACAAATACCTTTATGGTGATCAAGGCAGACTGGGATGTATGGAATATAAATTCATAAATAGATGATGTAGTCTATTTATCTTAGCCAAAGATTTGAGAAGCTATGATCAGTGTATTTTTTAGGTCATCTCCCCTCATACTTGTTTTAGAATTGGTTTTTTTCCTTTTGGTTGTGTCTTTGAACCATTTTCTCCTCTGCTCCTTAAACTGACAGGCTCCATCTGGTGGCCAACAGTCCTTTTCATGCTGTGACTACTCTGATGTTATTCCCATTGATTTTGTCCTGTTTTTTGCTTTGCTGAGCTGTGTGTGCTAAGTCGCTTCAGTTGTGTCTGATTCTTAGAGACCCACCACCAGGCTCCTCTGACCATGGAATTCTCCAGGCAAGAATACTGGAGAGGGTTGCCATACTCTTCTCTAGGAGATTTTCCTGACCCAGTGATCAAACCTGTCTCCTGCATTGGCAGGCAGGTTCTTTACCACTAGCGCCACATGGGAAGCCAATTTTACTTTGGGTTCTTCAACGTTGGTTTCTTCATCCTTGGGATAAATTACAACTCATGAGGCCCTTCATAATCCGAACTGTACACGTCTTCCGTGTATCATTTGTGGAACTCCCACTGCTCACACTCTACCCAGTTGGACCATTTGCTTTCAGCCCCAGCCTATGCCCACTGGCACTCAGCCCTCCATGAGTTTGTGCACTGTCTTCTCTTCCAGGCTACTGGAAAGCTCTGTCCCTTCCCCTTCTCTTGGAAGACCTTTTTGACTTCTGACTGGAACAGGTGTTCCCACCCTGCCCTTCCCGAATAGCCTATACTCACTGTTTGATAAAAAGACACTGCTGCAGTTACCTACTAATATTTCTAAATCCATCACTACTCAGTAAACGTCAAGAGGGCCAGGTCCCATGTCTTTTTTACTACTGTATCCATAGTGTCTGACCGTAATAGACTAGGTGCTAAGTATCTGTGGAATGAATAAGTGAAAGAACAAATGAGTGAAGTAGGCAGAGAGAAAAGGAGAGAGGCGATGTTTATTTATTTAGTAACAACTCTATTGAGATATAATTCACTCTTGTTAGATGTACAATTCAGTTGTTTTTATTTATTTTTGGATCAGCTGATTTTAAAGAGTAACTTAGTTACAGGGGAAGATTCTGAATTAAAAATTCACAAAAGCTCAGTTTATTGTGACTTTACTGAGAGAAAAGTATTTTTCTAAGAACACAAAGTATTATTTTAACCATTAACATTTAAATTAAAAAGATATAAATATGTCAAAGCCATGAACAAAGATCTTTTCTTACGTGTGACTCATGAATTCATGTTCCTTCAATTCCAGGGCTTACCTGAACTGTCTATAATGTATAAATCTTCACTTGTTGCATACATTAGTTCCTGCAGCAACATTCCTTGTGTTTGTGTGAGTGTTTCTGTATATGGTTTAGCTGTTTCCTACATGGGTTAGCAGTTCCCAATGCAATAACCGTTGCTTTCTTTTTCAGGAAGTATATCCAAATCTTTGCTTCATTTTATACAACAGTAATGAGAAGATTGGTTTGTATTTTTATGTCTTCTATTTTACAGATGCAACCAGTCATGCCACAGACAGTAAAAAATGAAACTGTGGATAATAAAAAAAGTATTTAGAGTGGCACATTCCACTAAAAATCAAATCAACAAATACTTATTAGGGCAGGCTCTGTACTACAGGGACACCATTACCTCAGGCCTGGTCTGTCCTGGCACCAAACCAGGTTGAGGGAGTCAGACATAAATACATGGCATTTTAATGTAAAGTGTAAACAAGTATACAACATGAAGAGGATAATGGTTTTCAAATGGCTGTTAAAGACAGGGGACCTTCTCTTCACAGAAATTATACTGGAAAGCTCAAAACGCAGAAGCACTAAAAAAAGTGGGGGCAAGGCCTTCAGCACTGGGGCAGTCTTAGGAGCTCTGGAAATGTGACTGAGCTGGACCCTGGGGGCTAAATGGAAGGAGCGAGCGTGACAGATTCAAGTTTTTGGCAAATCTTCATTCCACAGAGAAGCAGAGGTGACTGAATCTGGTTAGTGGAGAAGAGTGTGAAGCATCTGGAGATGAGGAAAGGGTAGTAGGGAAGGTGGGCAGAAACCTGCCTGCAGAGGAGAAATGAGCACTAACGCTCAGAGAAAACTGAAAGCTGTTGCTCAGGAAGAGACTGAAACTCTGGCCAACAATAAGAAGTGGTGGAAAATCCAGAGAGGCACCAGAAGTGGTACTCTGTGAAGATGGGCTGAAGGCTGCTAAGGAGGTTGTTACAAACTTTGAAGCTGGAGATGATGAAGGTTGAGCTGGGGGCTGCGTGACAAGATGAAAAGCTCGCAGGGGACTTCCCTGGTGGTGCAGTGGATGAGAATCTGTCTACCAATGCAGAGGACACAGGTTTGATCCCTGGTCCGGGAAGATTCCACATGCTGTGGGGCAACCAAGCCCGTGTGCCACTACTTCTGAGCCTGAGTGCTACCACTTCTGAAGCCCATGCACCTAGAGCCTGAGCTCTCAACAGAGAAGCGGCCGCAGTGAGAAGCTCAAGCACTGCAACCATGAGTAGCTCCTTGCTGCAATCAGAGAAAGCTGTACGCACAGCAGAAGACCCAGTGCAACCAAAAATAAATAAATATTAAAAAAACAAAACAAAACTAAGAACAACAAAAAAAGCTATCAGGAAGATTTATGTTTTGGTGAGGACTGGGGATACTGAGTTCAATTTTAGAGGTAACAGCCATGCCATCCTGGAATTATCTTGAAGGTGGTGGAAGGGCATGAGTGACCTGGCAGAGGGGGAAGACTGGAGGTATCGGGTGTGGAAAGATCTGGAAGCAATCTGCCCTAGATGGGTCAAGCCATGCTGCTGCCAAAGCCAAGTCTGCACAGCAGGAGAGAAAAGTGGAAGGCTGAGGCAAGACATGGGAGACAGACAGGGTCGGTGGACAAGGAAGGGCACAGGCAGCCTGTCTGGGAAGGCAGCAGCTTCCAGAGCAGAGCAGCGAGCAGGCCCCTGGCAGAGCTGGGGGCTGGCTGCCTTCTGTTTTCAGGAGCACCGACTTGGGAGACTGGGGAGAAAGTGTGTTTTACAAAGAGGAGAGGCAGTGGAGAAATGGGCTCAGAGCAGCCTGTCTAAAGTAAAGAGCCGCCCACGTGTGCTGGCGGAGGGGGAGGAGTCACTGCAGAGGGGAGAGGGTGAGGAAGGAGCAGTGTCTCTGAGGGCCCAGCGAGGAAGAGGGTGGGCTGTGGAGGCGGGAGGGCTGCTGAGGCGCCAGGAGAGGCAGAGAAGGCTCAGAGCTGTGCCTGTGGGACGAGGAGGGTGCCCGAGAGCTGCTTCAGCTTACCCTGCCTGCTCCCTCCCCTCCTCACCAGCTTCAGGTCTACCGGATCACGCATCCCAACACAGACTGTGGGGGGCTGGCGGTGGTCCAGAGGCCTGACAGAGACCACAGGCAGGAGGATACCTTCAGGCTGTACTCAGCTCTGGTAAGGAAGACAGGCCGAGCACAGCGCCGGAACAGGAGGGAGGGAAGGAAGAAAGAGGCAGATGACCAAGCAAGTGCTGAAGTGGAAAAGGAAACTCGGGGAGTTTGGGGTAAGTCTCCATTCTCAGCAAAGTGAGAGCAGACATGGGGGGAAGTAAGGCGGGAAAGACTTCGGAACAACTGCTCCAAGGCCACTGTGTGTGTGGTGGGGGCTGAGGGAGGGAAAGGGGTCCACAGAGGTGACCTCAAGACAGAGGAGCACCCTCAGCTGCGCTCTGTGCAGACGCAGGGGCGACCTGCCAAGCTCAGCAGAGAAAAGAGCTGATGGACTCACCCCGAGAGCTCCAACGGGGACGCTGATAGAAGAGCAGGGACCCGGCTGTTTCAAGGCACTAATAGAGGGCGACGCAAGCTGCCTACAGGTTCCAGGCACAGATAAGAGAGAGGCAAATGGGACAGAAGTAAAGGAAAGTAAGAGGTTTGGGAGAGAGAGGTAAAAAAGGCAGCAGAAGGCAGGGGTGGTGGGAGGGAGGCAGCAGAATGGTTGGAAAGGGTGGTAGACAGAGGTCAGCGGGACAGACTTCAGCATCTGAGGTTTTGGTAGGAGTGAGCTTGAATGGAGGTGTTAGAGAACTGTGAGAACAGGGACCCGGAAACAACAAAAACATAGCTGCTGATGTCACTGAGGCTGACAACAGAACTAGAGTGCAGAACCCTAGGGTCCCCAAGGGAGACAGAGGTGACCTCGAGGTACCCAGAGGTGACCTCGAGGTACCCAGGTGCTGGGGTGGGGTGGAGGCGTTATGTTTGCTGCAATGACATCTGTCTGGTTTGAGAAGGACACCTGTCTGGGTGCAAGAACACTGAGACATGCTCTGTACCTCTTCAAAAGTCTTGAGATTTATAGATGGCACAGTCACTTCCAACAGCCCACTCCATCCTCTGGAAGAAATAGACCATGGTGCTCTCCACCAGTAAGCCACTCAAGATGGCCAAGAAGGTGAGCTTACGGTTGATGTTTAGGGTCACTGAAAAAGAAAAGGCAACTGATAAGTTCTTAAGAGTTTAAATGATATTGGCATGTAAATTGTGTGGCAGTGTGAATGGAATGGTTTTGTAAAACTGTTTCTTAGAAAATCTCTATTTGTTCTTATTAATCTATGTTGTTACTTTTCCATCTACAAAGCTTTTGGGAGAACCAAAGCATCTGCTGATAACAAAAACACCAAACTTCTCCTGCTCTCGTCAAGACATATTTGCATGAATATTAAACAGGAAAATAAAAGCTAGATCTTAAGGTTATAAAGAGAATAGCAGGAAAAAATGGATACTTTTGGTTTTATAGTTTATAAGATATAGGCATTATAAGAAATATCAGATTAATACGTTCATTTGCAATAGCACTTCTCACAATGTATGGGATAAGTGATGACACGCAGGGCTGCTTACCCTTCGTCATTGTCATAAGAATTCTCCTGAGCTGTGAGGCAGATACCTGGCATTCTAGCCTGGCTTGACAACTGCCTGGCCGTGTAACTTTGGACAAGTAACCAAGAGCTCACTCAAAAAGTGGAGGTAATAACAGTTGTCCTACTGACTCCACAGGGCCTGCCTGGTGGCTCAGTGGTAAAGAACCCACCTGCCAATGAATGAGACATAGGTTCGATCCCTGGATCAGGATCCCTGGAGAAGGAAATGGCAACCCACTCCAGTATTCTTGCCTGGGAAATCCCAAGGACAGAGGAGCCTGGTGGGCTATAGTCCACGGGGTTGCAAAAGAGTTGGCTATGACTGAATGACTAAACAACAATGACTGACCCCACAGGATGGATGCAGTGTATAAGGGAGCATTTTGAAAACTAAAAAGTACCATGTGATTAAATTGAACAAATATTGAACATGTGCCATGGATAAGGCACTATGAAAATGTTAGGCATTGTTATTATTCTACAAACAGTTCCAGTGTTTAATAGGTTATATAAAAACTGTATCCTAGAAACAAGGCTTTATAGATAGTATATGGGTTGAAAGCTGAGAAAACAGAGTAAGATGTAAACATACCTCTGATTGCCTGAAAGTTTGACGTAAGGACAAACACTTTGATGAGTCTGAGGCACAGGGGTGTGTAATCATGTTCCCAAATCACAGCTGGGATCAGCAAGAGTTTTCCGTAGCTAGATAACAATAATGCCTTCAGCAGCAAAGTGAAGTTGAGTTTTTCTTTCACTTTTATGGGTCGTTCTATCCACAGGAAAGTGAAAATGCCAATAAAATAGGCAGTCTGTTCTAAGGAAGAAATGGAAAAATAAAGATACAAATGTCTCAATCCAAACCAGAGCCCCCTAAAAACAAATAAACCACAATTCCAAAATACAGCCTATCAGCTAATGACAAAAGAAATGCTTTATCAGGATCAAATTTTCTGGATTTCCCTGGCAGTGGATAAAAATCAGTGTATAAAAATCCAGCTGCCAAGGCAGGGGACATGGGTTTGATCCCTTGTCTGGGAAGATCCCTCCTGCCATGGATCAACTAAGCCTGTGTGTGATGACTCCCGAGCCTGGGCACCTGGAGCTTGTGCTCCACAAGAGAAGCCACAGCAATCAGAAGCCCACATACAGCAACACAGAGCTCTTGCCGCAGCTCGAGAAAGCCCGCCAAGCACAGCAACGAAGACCCAGTGCAACCAAAATAATAGTAAGTACTACTATTAATAACAATGGCTTCCCCAGTGGCTTACTGGTAAAGAATCTGCCTGCCAATGCAGGAGACATGGGTCTGATCCCTGGTCCAGGAAGACCCCACATGCCATGCAGCAACTAAGGCCAGATGCCACGACTAGAGCCCACTTGCTGCAGCATTCAGCCCTTGTGCCCTAGAGCCCACGCTCAGGAACAAGAGGGGCCACTGCCATGAGAAGCCCACCCACACAGAGAGCAGACCCCGGTCACTGCGATTAGAGAGGAGCCCACACAGCAACGGAGACCCAGCACAGACAAGTTAAGTAATTAAATTTTAAAAACCAGTCATTAAAAAAATTAATAATAAAAAAAGAAACTTTCTTTTTCTTTTTTAAAATAACCCGTCTTTTGTGTCAAATCCTGCTGGTATCATTTCCAAAACATATTTTGGTAATTCTTTCATGAAGTACTTCACTCTCTGGAGAAAAAGTAATTCTGAGAGAATTGTAATCATCAACTTTCTGAAGTTCCTTTTAGGAAATCAGGTTGTTTAAGCATTTTTACTCCTAGAGATCTCCACAGAGAAAATGGACAGGAGAATGGAAGGTTTTAAATCTGGAAGATGGGACACAGCCTAGGAATTACATATGAAGGTGTTTTTCGTTGTTGATTCACCTACTTTTTATGGACTGCCTCTTAGCCATAAGACCTTGAATAGTCTGTTACCTAAATTAAAAACATCCCCTATTCATCTTAACAAACTTTTTGAGTGTAATTCCATATCCTTCCAGAAAGTATGCAGAGACAGAGTCCAAACTAAAAGAAGCAATAGTTCCCGTGGTATCCCACAGTCAGAACAGACTGCAATCTGTTCTGTTCCCAACTAGGAATTTAACAATATCTTTTAACTGCATTATTTTATTAAGATTGTTATTAATAAGACTGTTAGTGCTCTGACTACCCAGATGCATACATTTTGATTGGTTTGTCCCTAATTCTATTTTCTCCTACATTGTTGTTCAGTTACTTAGTCATGTCTGACTCTTTGTAACCCCATGGACTGCAGCACGCCAGGCTTCCCTGTCCCTCACCATCTCTCAGAACTTGCTCAAACTCATGTCCATTGAGTTGGTGATGCCATCCAACCATCTCATCCTCTGTTGTCCCCTTCTCCTCCTGCCTTCAGTCTTTCCCAGCATCACGGTCTTTTCCAATGAGTCAGCTCTTCACAGCAGGGGACCAAAATATTGCAACTTCAGCTTCAGCATCAGTCCCTCCAATGAATATTCAGGATTGATTTCCTTTAGGATTGACTGGTTTGATCTCCTTACAGTCCAAGAGACTCTCAAAAGTCTTCTCCAACACCACAGTTCAAAAGTATCAAAGTGGACAAAACATGGTCCACTGGAAAAGGAAATGGCAAACCACTTCAGCCCTCTTGCCTTGAGACCCCCATGAACATATTACGAAAAGGCAAAAAGATTTTCTCCTATAAGCTGTGTTATTTAGGTTTCTACAGGATCGTGTTTTTTTTCTGGAACACATGTATTGTATCATAGGAGAAATAACTGTATTCCTTCTAAAATGTTCTATAACTGAATCTAGCCAAAATAAAGAGGTTCCAAATATAGGTGATTAGGATCCATAATCCATAATTAGGATTCATATGGGTCAATTAGGGTCCATAACTAGGATCCCATCTCAGTGGGACCTTCTTGATTGTTTGCTTCCCTGATAGTTCAGTTGGTAAAGAATCTGCCTGCAATGTGGGAGGCCTGGGTTCGATCCCTGGGTTGGGAGATCCTCTGAAGAAGGGAAAGGCTACGCACTCCAGTATTCTGACCTAGAGAATTTCAAGGACTGTATCATCCATGGGATCACAAAAAGGTGGACACGACTGAGCGACTTTCACTTTCAGGATCCATAAACGTAATTTAGGATGGTTAGCCCCCATGAAATTTGATATAGTCTTCAGGGGAGACACACCATCTCCCTCCAAAATGACTGAAGGGCTCGTCCACTGCAAGGATCTGTTCAAACAGGCAGATTATATAGCCTGGGTTTTTAACTGATAATAATGAGAATAATCAAAATAAAGAACTTCCTCACAAGAACCATCTAACAGTGGTGGGTTATTGTTAGATGACAGTCTTGTCACTGGAGACACAATCTTGCAGGAATCAAGAGAGAAGGGTTTCCTGCACTGGAGAGGATGGCAGACTACATCACACCTTTCTTGCGTAGAACTTGGGAGACTGAGGAAGCTGCACCTGCCCTTGGGCTCCACACAGCCTTTCCCAGGCAGGTATTAGAGAGCCCTCGCCCTTAGAACTCTCACACATCAGATGGGTTCAGGAGGAGCAGCAGTGGAGAAAGAGCCACAGTGGGGAAAACAAGAGACGGGGCACTGGGAGACCTTCCCCAGCTCTGCACTGAGGCTAACCTGCTGCGGGAACTTCAGGGAGACCACGGGCCCTTCCTGTTTTTGTGCTTTGACAACTGCAGATGGGGAAGGCAACCCAACCTACCTACCAGAGAGGATGGTTGTGAAAACTGAGTTGATGATACTGTAAAAACAGTTTTTAAGTTATAAGATGCTGAATTTGTATAACACATTCTTTATAAGCTGTTTTAGTAATCTGCAACCTAACTAGGGATTAGATTAAGACACATATAAATGTAATAGAAGAAAAAATTTCTGCTCAAGTGTCAAAACAGCCACTATAGAGTACGTGCTACAGAAATTCCAAACTACTTAAAGCAAGCTTAGTTTTTTTTTTTTTAAATTATACACACAAAGCAGTTCATCTATAGCAATTTTAAGAGGCTTTGCTTTAAAGCTTAAAATTATATTAGGTTCTAGCTCTTGGTTTAGGTGATTTGTTCAAGGAAGTTTTTAACGTTATTATGTACGTTTTGGAATTCTCAGCAGACAGATGAATTTTAAAGCCGCTGGGACTGGATGAGAGGGCCAAGGGAATGAGGGCATCCAGAGAAGAACGAGGGACAAAAGAGGACACAGTCCAGAAATATGACACTGGAGAGGTGTGCAGGTGGCACTGGTGGTAAAGAATCTGCCTGCCAATGCAAGAGAAGTAAGAGACCTGAGTGCAGTCCCTGGGTTGGGAAGGTCCCCTGGAGGAGGGCACAGCAATCCATTCCAGTATTCTTGCCTGGAGAATCCCATGGGCAGAGCAGCCTGGAGGGCTACAGTCCATAGGGTCACAAAGAGTCGGGCATGACTGAAGCGACTTAGCATGCAGGCATGGAGACTTAAGTACTAAAATATTTCAATATAAGGAAAAAGATTTTAGAAGTAGAAAAGCATGGAAACCAGTAAATAATAACATAGTCACAGAAATTAATTCAACCCAATTCTGACCTAAGTCACAAATTTCAAATTCTGTAGAAAAACAATTTCAGAACTCAAAGAATTCTGGGGAGTAGCCCTTTCCCTACACCTAGTATATGAGTAGGTAATTAGTATAATAACTAGTTATTAGTATAATTAGTAATAATAGTAATTAGTAAAATACATTGAATAATGTCTGGCAGTTATTAATCTGTTTTAATAAAGATGAGATTCAAGGAATCTTCAGATTGGATAATCATAACTTAAAGTGAAGAATTTTACCCAAGATATTATGTCTCAAAATACTTTATGAAACACCTGTATCTGATAAGCATAATCACTTCCATGCCCTATGTGTGGTAACAAACAAAAGTAAGCTTGATAAGGATTGCACTGAATCTATAGATTCCTTTGAGTAGTATACTCATTTCCACTATATTGATTCTTCCGATCCATGAACATGGTATATTTCTCCATCTATTTGTGTCCTCTTTGATTTCTTTCACCAGTTTTATAGTTTTCTATATATAGGTCTTTTGTTTCTTTAGGTAGATATATTCCTAAGTATTTTATTCTTTTCGTTGCAATGGTGAATGGAATTGTTTCCTTAATTTCTCTTTCTGTTTTCTCATTGTTAGTGTATAGGAGTGCAAGGGATTTCTGTGTGTTAATTTTATATCCTTCAACTTTACTATATTCATTGATTAGCTCTAGTAATTTTCTGGTGGAATCTTTAGGTTTTCTATATAGAGGATCATGTCATCTGCAAACAGCGAGAGCCTTATTTCTTCTTTTCCAATCTGGATTCCTTTTATTTCTTTTTCTGCTCTGATTGCTGTGGCCCAAACTTCCAAAACTATATTGAATAGTAGTGGTGAGAGTGGGCACCCTTGTCTTGTTCCTGACTTTAGGGGAAATGCTTTCAGTTTTTCACCATTGAGGATAATGTTTGCTGAGGGTTTGTCATATATAGCTTTTATTATGTTGAGATATGTTCCTTCTATTCCTGCTTTCTGGAGGGTTTTTTATCATAAATGGATGTTGAATTTTGTCAAAGGCTTTCTCTGCATCTATTGAGATAATCATATGGTTTTTATTTTTCAATTTGTTAATGTTGTGTACTACACTGATTGATTTGTGAATATTGAAGAATTCTTGCATTCCTGGGATAAAGCCCACTTGGTCATGATGTATGATCTTTTTAATATGTTGTTGGATTCTATTTACTAGACTTTTGTTAAGGATTTTTGCATCTATGTTCATCAGTGATATTGGCCTATGGTTTTCTTTTTTGGTGGCATCTTTGTCGGGTTTTGGTATTAAAGTGATGGTGGCCTCATAGAGTGAGTTTGGAAGTTTACCTCCCTCTGCAATTTTCTGGAAGAGTTTGAGTAGGATAGGTGTTTGTTCTTCTCTGAATTTTTGGTAGAATTCAGCTGTGAAGCCGTCTGGTCCTGGGCTTTTGTTTGTTGGAAGATTTCTGATTACAGTTTCAATTTCTGTGCTTATGATGGGTCTGTTAAGCTTTTCTATTTCTTCCTGGTTCAATTTTGGAAAGTTGTACTTTTCTAAGAATTTTTCCATTTCTTCCAAGTTGTCCATTTTATTTGCATATAGTTGCTGATAACAGTCTCTTATGATCCTTTGTATTTCTGTGTTGTCTGTTGTGATCTCTCCATTTTCATTTCTAATTCTGTTGATTTGATTTTTCTCCCTTTGTTTCTTGATGAGTCTGGTTAATGGCCTGTCAATTTTATTTACCTTCTCAAAGATCCAGCTTTTGGTTCTGTTGATTTTTGCTATGGTCTCTTTAGTTTCTTTTGCATTTATTTCTGCCTAATTTTTAAGATTTCTTTCCTTCTACTAACCCTGAGGTTCATAATTCCTCCTTTCCAAGTTGTTTTATGTAAGCAATCTTGAGAAAGAAGAATGGAACTGGAGGAATCAACCTGCCTGACTTCAGTCTTTACTACAAAGCCACAGTCATCAAGACAGTGTGGTACTGGCACAAAGACAAAAATATAGATCAATGGAACAAAATAGAAAGCCCAGAGATAAATCCACGTACCTATGGACACCTTATCTTTGACAAAGGAGGCAAGAATATACAATGCAGAAAAGACAATCTCTTTAACAAGTGGTGCTGGGAAAACTGGTCAACCACTTGTAAAAGAATGAAACTAGAACACTTTCTAACACCATACACAAAAATAAACTCAAAATGGATTAAAGATCTAAATGTAAGACCAGAAACTATAAAACTCGTAGAGGAAAATATAGGCAAAACACTCTCCAACATAAACCACGGCAAGATCCTCTATGACCCACATCCCAGAATATTGGAAATAAAAGCAAAAATAAACAAATGGGACCTAATTAAAATTAAAAGCTTTTGCACAACAAAGGAAACTATAAGCAAGGTGAAAAGACAGCCTTCAGATTGGGAGAAAATAATAGCAAACAAAGCACAGACAAAGAATTAATCTCAAAAATATACAAGCAACTCCTGCAGTTCAATTCCAGAAAAATAAAAGACCCAATCAAAACGTGGGCCAAAGAACTAAACAGACATTTCTCCAAAGAAGACATACAGATGGCTAAAAAACACATGAAAAGATGCTCAACATCACTCATGATCAGAGAAATGCAAATCAAAACCACAATGAGGTACCATTACATGCCAGTCTGAATGGCTGCTATCCAAAAGTCTACAAGCAATAAATGCTGGAGAGGGTGTGGAGAAAAGGGAACTCTCTTACACTGTTGGTGGGAATGCAAACTAGTACAGCCACTATGGAGAACAGTGTGGAAATTCCTTAGAAAACTGGAAGTAGAACTGCCATGTGACCCAGCAATCCCAGTGCTGGGCATACACACTGAGGAAACCAGATGAAAGAGACAGGTGCATCCCAATGTTCATCACAGCACTGTTTATAATAGCCAGGACATGGAAGCAACCTAGATGTCCATCAGCAGGTGAATGGATAAGATATGGGAGAATGGCATTGAAACATGTAAATTATCATATGTGAAACGAATTGCCAGTCCAGGTTTGATGCATGATACAGGATGCTCGGGGCTGGTGCACTGGGATGACCCAGAGGGATGGGATGGGGAGGGAGGTAGGAGGTAGGAGGGGGGTTCAGGATGGGGAACACATGTACTCCCATGGAGGATTCAAGTCAATGTATGGCAAAACCAATACAATGTTGTTAAGTAAAATAAATAAATAAAAAAATTTTTAAAAAAAGTAAAGGATGGAGGAATGTATGTCATGCAAGCACTAAAAAAAAAAAAAGAAAAAAACAAATAAAAGTAAGAAAGCAAGTAATTTAGACAAACTCACCTAGCAGATTAGTGGCATTGCTGAAATTTAGTCTCAAGTCCTCTAGCTAGCTCCTCTTACCAATGATTAAAACCATGCACCTTAATTTTAAAATCAAGATACTTGGTCAAATAATAGTAGAAAGCATGGCTTCTTCCTACCTAGAGAGGCAATCACAAACATTCTGTAGAAATCCCACTCCTTAGCGTATCTGATAAAGTCGTCAGGATCAATGCTTCGGCTGGAGTCTTGGAGCTGCCACCACCTCAGGTATGCTTCACAAAGCAGACAAAATACGCAGAGCTTTCCGTGCATCTGTCAAAAGACACTGCCATTCAATCAGGTAAAGAAGCAACTACTTAATATCAAGAGGACCAGACAGAGCTAACTTTTGTGGGTTCTGAAGACTGTCTGATCTAGTAGCTTTTCAAATTCAAACACTGCCCAGTTAAATGCAAATTGTATTCAGTCTATAACCACTAGGTCTTAATCAGCAATGTTCAGCAGAAGCATCACATGGGGAGATTTTTCAAAATACAAATGTCTAGGCCCCAGTCCTGATTCAGAATCTGTGGAAGGAAATCCCAGCAGGCATACTGTGTGGGAAACACTCAGGCAGAGGGTGAGCTCTAATGTGCACCCTTAGTTAAGAATCACAGCTTTAAATAGCAGTTCACTTCATCCTGTTATATTCTCAACATTTGTCTGATACACAGAATTAAGCAAGAATTTATGTGACTCAGGATGGGTGGAAGCAGCAATAAACACATTTAATCTGAAGATTTCATGACACCTCATAAGAAACTATTAGTCTGAACATGAATTTTTAAAAAAATGCCTCTAGGTTGGATGAGTATAAACTAAAATAGTGAAAGACAGCAATTAAAGGTGGCAAATCATCTGGAAGTTTTAGAGTCTGAAATTTTGGCAAAAACAGAAAATGCTAGGCAATAAAAACTGGCTTTTTTTCTATATATTTCTCCTACTCGTTGAAATTTATCCATGTAAAGTGGGGAAGAGAAACTGTGTGCAAAGTTGATGTGGTCCAGGGATAAGCATGGTTGTGAGCTTCTAAGGCTACCCCATTTAGCACACTGGTTCTCCTGGCTGCACTTTGGCATCCACTAGGGAGATTTACAGAGAAGGCAATGGCAACCCACTCCAGTACTCTTGCCTGGAAAATCCCATGGACGGAGGAGCCTGGTAGGCTGCAGTCCATGGGGTCACTAAGAGTCGGACACGACTGGGCGACTTCACTTTGACTTTTCACTTTCATGCATTGGAGAAGGAAATGGCAACCCACTCCAGTGTTCTTGCCTGGGGAATCCCAGGGACGGGAAAGTCTGGTGGGCTGCCGTCTCTGGGGTCACAGAGAGTCAGACACGACTGAAGAGACTTAGCAGCAGCAGGGAGATTTAAGGAATACTGATGCCTGGATCCCATTGCCAAAGATTCTGATTTAACTGGTTCTGGGTGAGGCCTCGGCTTGGAATAATTAACTGCTGCCCCCACCCACTCCCCCAGGTGTTTCTAATGTGTAGTCAAGTCTGAGACTTACAATTAGATTACAAAACAGCCTGGGTTATTTAACTCTGGGGAAGGAGGACAGGGATAATAAATTGCACTGTTACTGTCCCTGTTAGCCCAAAATTAGGGTTGCCAGATTTGGCAAATAAAAATGCAGGACGTCCAGTTAACTATGCACTTCAGATAAACAACAAATACTTTTTTCGTGTATGTATGTTTCACACAATATTTAGAACAGCTAAAAATCAGTTTATCTGACTTCCAAGTTTAATTAAGTGTCCTGTATTTTATCTGTCAATCCTAGCCAAACTATTAAGAGTATACAAGTCAATTCATTAAATTGTACATTTCAAAAAAAAAAAAAAATTCAACTGTAGTTATTAGGACTTTTCTGATTTTTCATCTCATGTATTCCCTCAACAGGCTTCCTGGTGGCTCAGTGGTAAAGAATCCACCTGCAATGCAGGAGATGTGGGTTGGATCCCTGGGTTGAGAAGATGCCCTGGAAAATGAAATGGCAACCCACTCCAGTATTCTTGACTGGCAAATGCCGTGGGCAGAGGAGCCTGGTGGGCTACAGTCCATGGGGTCACAGAGAGTCCGACAAGACATAGCAACTAAACCAATCAGCCATTCCCTTAACAGCAGAGTATACCATGCAATACATTACATTTTAAAGATATTTTTCTTTTAATGTTTGCTTACTTCTTTTAGGGATAATTCTCTCCCTACCAGGTTATATTTAATTTTATTCTGTTCAAAATTACTGATATCTGTTTCAAAAGGTAACCTACTAAAAAGGAAATCCAGATGATGGCCTGTCAATTTCCTGCCAGTAACTGTATTCTTAAATACACACTAGACATTGCATACCTTTTTAAAAAGCAATGCCTGCTATTTCCAGAAATTTCCAGACATTGTTGATAAAAGACTCACTCTTGTTAGAATTTCTTTCTTTAAATAATGTTCTTTAATTCTGTTCAAAAGTGTTATTATTTCAAAATGCAAAATCATCAAGTAAAATTAGAAAATAAAAAAATTATCACAACTTACGTTTATTTTGGTATTGAAAAGAATATGCCTGTAGGCCTGGGCTTTGCATAAAATAGCATTAATCAAGATGATTACAGGATCATACTCGATGTATTTGTCTACGGGTTTCTGGCAGGATTTCTGAAATAATGCAAGACAATATTAGAAAAAATATATTCATACATTCCGAAATTTTAGAGGATTTCAAAGCAGCAGATTCTATTTTGGATTTGTATAGCAATCAGGTTGTATCAACATTTATTTAGATGGCTTCCCAGGCGGCATTAGTGGTAACAGAATTTGCCTACCAATAAAGGAGACACAAGAGAGATTCCTGGCAGAAGGAAATGGCACCCCACTCCAGTATTCTTGCCTGGAAAATTCCATGGGCAGAGAAGCCTGGCAGGCTACAGTCCATGGGGTCGCAAAGAGTCAGACACAACTGAGCGACCAAGCATGAGCATTTATGGAAACTTTCATTCACATATAAAATGTTCATCTATGTAAGCCTTGGCTTCAAATGAGGAAATATAATCTTCTAGGGTAAAAATATTAATCTTTTAACCTCATATTAAAAAGCTAAAAAATATATTTGATTTAAAGACATTTCAGGCAGGAAAATATCTCAGAAAATGCTACTTTCAGTTTGTAGAAACTGTTATAAAATAAATACGTTCAGAATGTACTTTCATTACCCATTGACTAGATGGCCCCAACTTTGTGCTTCTTGCAATATGATTTGGAGAAAGGGGTTCAAAAAAGTAACCCTACACCTAGAACTGAGAGCTACAGGTGGGCAGGAATCCTGGGGTGGCACCTACCAAAAAGAGCCTGTCTTTTTCCTTTTCTCCATTGAGAACATGGCAAGAAAATGGTCTTTCTCTGCTACAGTAGACCCTGGAGACCGCTGACTGTATGTGAGGAACTGCGTCGTGCTGCCTGGTTCTGAGTTGCCCAAATCAAGGCCCTTGGGCTCTCAGCAATTCCTATTAAATGGCGCTTTTTTTTTTTCCTTTTGGACACGTGATTACAATGTTATGAAATCCCAATGCCATTAGAACATACAAAATGCAGGTATAGGAACAAGCTCATTAGAATTGCAACATCTGAATCAGTATTAGCTACAAAGTTGCAGGGCTACTGGTCAAGGCATAAACAAATGGCTACAATTTAAAAAAAAAAACAATTTCGAAACTCTGAGAGGATAAAAGAGAAATACAAGAAGTGATGTATATGCAAACATACTAGGATGACCTTTTGATTACATCTAAGTGCTAGAAGAAAAATGGAGTGCACTGAAGAATAATAACCCTGCACTCCCAGTGTTATAACGAGTTAGATTCAATTCCAATTTCAAGTTTTTCCGTTTCACTCACATCATTACAAGAAGGGTGTATGTTTGTCTAGTCATCAGGTGAACCAATAAAGGGAGATGTGCTATTACCCCAAATTTAAATCCACCTAATAGATCTGAGGTGTAACAGGTTAGGCTTTTTAGCTGAGCAAAGAGAAAGCCAGTGCCTAAACAGAAGCCACAGAATCAGAAATTATACATACACAACACAGCAGTTTTCTAGATCATCTCCCTGTGCTACTCACGTGGAGAACATGTCCTGTCTTTATACAAATAAGAATGGAAGGCCAGAGATGCTACTTCATTTTAAGATGAAACCGAGACTGGTCAGGGATCTTCTCTCTGTCCTTTAAAAATTCTTTGAAACCCATCTCCTGACAGCATCAAAAGTCGAAGATGGGATTTGGACGTATTTTAGAAGGAGGGAGGCAGAAACCAGCAGCAGGGGACAGTGCAGCGTAGCTATTCCTTTTGCAACCACTTACCTGACAAATGTGTTTGGAATGACTATTACACTCAGAGCAATAGCTCTCTTTACTTAGCCATTTCTAAGGACCAGGCATATCCACAGCACTGGATACCTACCCTGAGACATAAGCTCTAATCTCAAGGACCTTACAGTTTAGAAAGTGAAAGTGAAAAGACTATTACACTCAGAGCAATAGCTCTCTTTACTTAGCCATTTCTAAGGACCAGGCATATCCACAGCACTGGATACCTACCCTGAGACATAAGCTCTAATCTCAAGGACCTTACAGTTTAGAAAGTGAAAGTGAAAAGACTATTACACTCAGAGCAATAGCTCTCTTTACTTAGAAAGTGAAAGTCGGCCAGTCAACCAACTCTATGAGACTCCATGGACTACAGCCCACCAGGCTCCTCTCGTCCACGGAAGTCTCCAGGCAAGAACACTGAGGTGGGTCTCCATCTCCTTCGACAGGGGATCTTCCCAACCCAGGGATTGAACCCAGGCCTCCCATGCTGCAGGCAGATGCTTTACCCTTTGAGCTGCCCAGGAAGCACTGCCCTGGTGGCTCAGACTGTTTAGAAGGGGAAGGCAAATACACATGCTACTAAAAGTGCTACAATGGAGTAAGCAGGCGACATAAACCGAACAGAAGGGGCGACTGCTGGTATCACGTGACATGCTATGTGCTATGCTCAGCTTCCCTTCCTAGCATGCTGAGGATTTCAGAAATACTAAGAATTCATTAAAGTCTGCTGGTTCCCTCCCTATCAGTTTAGGCTGAATTTTTTCCTTGTTCTGCCTCTATTATTTGCTTTTCATTTGAGTGCTTTCTTCACCTTGAATGTAATGAGTAAAACCACACACACACACACACACACAACAAATGTAGTAAACTTCCTATGGGGAGATAGCTAAATTGAGTAAACATGGTTTCTTATTTCTGGAAGAAAAGCTATGACCAACCTACACAGCATATTAAAAAGCAGACACATTACTTTGCTGACGATGGTCCATCTAGTCAAAGCTATGGTTTTTCCAGTAGTCATGTATGGATGTGAGAATTGGACTATAAAGAAAGCTGAGCACCGAAGAATTGATGCTTTTGAACTGTGGTGTTGAAGACTCCAAGGAGATCAAACCCATCCATCCTAAAGGAAATCAGTCCTGAATATTCAGTAGAAGGACTGATGCTGAAGCTGAAACTCCAATACTTTGGTCATCTGATGTGAAGAAGTGACTCACCGGAAAAGACCCTGATGCTGGGAAAGATTAAAGGCAGGAGGAGAAGGGGGCAACAGAGGATGAGATCGTTGGATGGCATCACTGGTTCGATGGACATGAGTTTGAGCAGGCTCCGGGAGTTGGTGAAGGACAGGGAAGCCTAGCATGCTGCAGTCTATGGGGTGGCAAAGAGTTGGACACGACTGAGCGACTGAACTGAATTGAATGATCCTGGCAAAACTGCTCCATTCTATATCATTTATTATTAACAGTCAAGTATCCTGAAAGAGAAGTTTGTCCTCTAAGAAATCCCTACAGCACAGGGACCATGAACACTCAGGAAACTAAAATACTGCTTCCACCAGCTCAGTCTTCACATGGATATGACTTAGTTTCTGCTGTTATGCTCTCTAATTCTACAATGAATCACATCTCTTTCAGAATATGAATTGGTCACTTTTTTTCCCCCATGAATATTCTTGCTGCTTCTTCCTTCCCATCATCTCCAGGACAATTCCCTTCCCCACTCATTCTCAAATCTCTTTAACTTTAGCTCCACAATAAGCAAGCACATATCTGAAAAGTGAAACCGATGAAACTTTACATTCCTGCGAGGGTAGTGCTGTCTTATTCATCTTTGCACCCAGCAACCAGGGGTGAAAGCTGCCTCCTGTTGGACAATGTCAAAGGAGTCTTGTTTTGTTACCATAATGGATTTAACAAATATCTGAGCAGTTAAAATAGGTCAGGCTCTACAGGATATTAAAAGTATAGTATCTTTAACATAACTATAATAAATTGTGAGGTGCTGAAGCAGAGAGAGTGACTAAAAGCAAGGGATATGCTTCTGTTAGAAAAAATTAGAGAAACAGAGATAGGCAAGCTGGAAAGAATGGCAAGAGAAAAGTAAGAAGAGCAAAGGGAAGGGAGATTAAAATGAAAAATATTGGTAGGAGATCAGGTTGAGTATACTGCTGACTCCAAATTCAGCAGAGAAGAGACCAAAGTACGTATTAGTTACTGACTGTAACCACTTAGAAACTGGATATTTTTTCCACAACAAATAGCATGATATCAGACTTCTCTGGAGGCAGAGTGGATGAGAATCTGCCTGTCAATGCAGGGGGCACAGGTTCAATCCCTGGTCTGGGAAGATTCCACATGCTGCAGGGCAACTAAGCCTGCACACCCCAACTACTGAAGCCCAATCTTCAAAAGCCTATGCTCCACAAGAAGAGAAGCTGCCGCTATGAGAAGTCCGCTCACTGTAATGAATAGCCCCCATTCACCGCAAATAAGCCCTCATGCAGCAATGAAGACAGAGCACAGCCACAAATAAGTAAAGAATAAAAATTTTTTAAAAAATCTGTAACTTCATCATATATAAAAAACAGCATGATATCTAAAACTCTTTTACTTTTAATCTCAGGACTTTTGGACATCCTTTAACAAATTAATTATTTTATGGTTTAATTTTCAGAGTCTGGCACCAAATGAATGATTTTTCTGAGTAATGCAATTATGCATATTACTAAGCATTAGTAAAATATAAAGGTTAGAACAAACTCCATCTCATTATGGAATGACTGTGTACAATAATTCAAAATGTATAGTAATACCATTCAATATTCCAAATATTACTCTAAAATCTGTCTCCTGGGTGAGAAAGTGTAATCCTGGGGGTCTGGGGTTGGAGGGAAGTGGGCGATAGTATAGCTGTTGACCTAAATAGCTATCCAATAATTATCTTTACATAAATAAAGGTATAGAGAAGCCAGCGTCTGATGGTTTGAAAGGGATTTTGTTTTTGTTAGCATAATGCCAGGTGCATTTCGAACACTAGTACTGGGTTTATGTGATTGCATAGTTTGTGGAAGTTCTCTAAGCAAAGCAGGGGAGGATATATGTAAAACTTGAGGAGAGACAGGGTATTGTTCGGAGTGGGAACATGAATGGACTAGTGAAGTGTACCATGATGAACAGATAGTATCAAGGCCTACCTGAGATTAGTGGTCATGAATTTAAGGTGTTTTCTCCCCAGGAAAGCTCAGCAGCAAGGGTGTAGGGTCAGATAGGCAATATGTTTCAATTTTGCCAAATAAGAGAAACAATTTGATAGAAGAGCAGGAAATTGACAGTGCTGGCACAAGAATGATTATTAACATAATGGTTGACAAGAAACAGGTATACATTCATACTGTTGACTCCCTTGCAAATTACTCTTGCCATGTTTTCGAAATGAGAATTATTAAAAAGTCATCAGGAGATCAGAAAGGGGACAAAAATGTATTGACTGCCTATATTGTGACAGATTCTTTCCTAATGGCCCCCCAAAGAACCTCCAATTTTGTGTTTTTTAAAAACATATTCTCTGTAAATAGACTATGGAACACCTCGAAAACAGAATTTTCACTTCCTCGCTTTTGGTTTTTATATCATCAACGTCCAGCACAGTGCTTCATACATAATAGTGTACATTCACGAAACCTGAAAAAATATTCTAGGAGAATTTACTGTAGGTGATGAAGTGTTAAGACAGTTAAGACAGTAACATCTGTCTAATCAAAGGGAGAATAAGAATGAAATAATTTTGACGGGAGCCCAAATGTCAGCCTAATCCGATCTTTAAATTTCTCTGCACAACGCATGCATCCATCTCCGTCTGAGGATTTGTTCGCCCGGGTCAGCAAACACGAGCCGTATGAGAAAAGTGCTGAAGGTAGCACTTCTCTACCACTACAGGTATTCACGCAAAGGTTCGACTGCGGAACGGAAATGTCAAGCATCGAACTGAAGTCTGTATTAGAGCACTCTGAAACTCGTTGATTTTTGATCGCCCTAGAAAGCTGGCAAAGATTCCACGACATCTCACGGCCCCCAAATCTCGCTGCGCCATTTTTTCCCCAAGGACACCCCACACCTGACAACTCACACAGATGGTTATCTTCAGCACGCCATGGTTATAGTCTCGGTACAACTCCTTGGCCTCTTGGTTGCATTCGATGCACCTGTATTGGCAGGAGGCCGAGGCAGCAGTGGTCGAAGTCACTGGCGCCTCATCCGTCTTCCCCTTTCCCGCTGTCACCCCTTCGGCGTTCCCTCTGCCAGGCCGAAGCCCACTCCGCCCACCGGTGCCCATTTCCACGCAACTGCCAGCCAGAACTTCCGATTCAGTGGCGGGGGAAGACGTCAGACGGCAGACCGGAAGTCTTGCGCCGGGCGGTGCTTGCTGGGACTCGCAGTCCTAGCACCGAAAGGGGGCTCTCAGGCTACGCTGAGCTAGGACTACAACTCCCAGCGGGCAGTGCTATGACCACCCCTTCTCCCGCCCCCTTACCACAGCCCACCTGCCCACCGCGGGTTAAGGCTGGGAGGGCGCCGCGCGCCGCGAGGGCTGCCGCACATGCGCCTTGAGGGAAGATGGCACCTGCCGGCTGCTGCTGCGGCGGCTGCTGGGGCGGCGCTGTGGCCGCCGCGGACGCCGCCCGGCGCGTCTTGGTGCTGCTGCTGCTGGGGGTTTTGTCTGCCGGGCCGGGACTCGGCGCCTTAGCCACCGAGCACTACTCGCCGCTGTCCCTGCTTAAGCAGGAGCTGCAGCACCGGCAGCAGCAGGAGGCCCCGGCGGGCGGCGGTTGCAGCCCGCAGTCCGGGGACTGGGGGGACCAGTACTCTGCCGAGTGCGGCGGTGAGTGGGGGGCGGCGGGCGGGAAGCGGGGTTGCGGCGGAGTGCCGGCGCGGCTGGGCCGTAGGGGCTGCGGGCCCCGGCGCCGCTGCTGGCCGCCCTGGCCTCGCTGCAGCCGGCCGCGGCGTGTACCCCTGCGGGAGCCGGCTTCTCGAAATGTTGCGCCAGGGCCGCTTCCCGCCGCTCGCACCCACGCCGCTGCGCGCCCTCCTCCCGAAGCTGCCTTGGGGAGGGCAGTGAATAGTGAAAAAAGCTGGCAGCATTCTCCCGAGGCCGGGGCGGGCTCTCTGCAGCCCTAGCAACTTTTGAAAGGGTGGAGGAGGAGATGGCAGGTGGCCCGGGGCAGCCTCAGTCTCTGCTCCGGCCCCCTGCGGGTGCTGTGTGAGCGAGGGCAGGAGCAAAAAGCGCCAGACCCGTGCCCGGAGCGGGGATGTCTGGCTCATTTTAGGTCTGGAAATTAGATTTGCTGACCTCCCTATTGATGTTTTGTATTATATATAGCCTCCGAGAATTTGATCCCTGGAAAAAAAGGAGGCAACAGAAGAGTAACCTCGTTGTATCTGTTCACTGACATCTTGCTTCCAGTTGTTTAAAACTGACGTGTGATCTCTCCGGTGTCTCACAGAGAGTAAAAGTAGCCCTGCGGGCTCCCGTGTATGTCAGAGCAGTGTGTGTGTGTTGGCACTGGGCCAGCTCATTCATTTACATTGGGCACTATTGGCCTCAGTTTATTCCTCAGAGGCAGGGTACATAGGTCCATTTTTTGAAGTTCTGTAGTGGGTCCTTTTTGGGTTCCCTGGTGCCTGTAATGTAGGAGACCTGGGTTCAGTCCCTGGGTTGGGAAGATCCCCTGGAGAAGGGAATGGCTACCCACTCCAGTATTCTTGCCTGGAGAATCCCATGGACAGATGAGCCTGGTGAGCTACAGTTGTCCATGGGGTCGCAAAGAGTCAGACACAACTTAAGCAACTAACACTTTCACTGCGTGGGTATTTTTACCTTTCAGTCCCCTCCCTTCTCCTTCCTCTTTCCTCTTGGCCTGTGTGAGTTCCTTTAAGGGTTGCTTTTGAAACGTCAGGGTCTGCTTGACTCATAGGAGCTGGCTGGTTGGTTTTATGGTCTGACAGCAGTCTAACATTGTGTACCTAGGAAGGCCATAAGTATTTTTGGTTGAGGTGAAATGTCGAGATTAGCACAGTGTGATTTCCTTTCAGCACAATCTGACTTCCTTGAGGAAGTCTCACTCGCTGAGGGCTATGTGACTTCTGTATTTCGTAGTAGGCCATGGCCAGTAGCAGCATAAATGCACAGTGGAAAGAGAATAGCTTTTACCTCTGTCACTTTCTGTGACTCTGATCAGGTTAATTGCCTGTCTTTGCATAATTGCCTCCTCTGTAAATTGAAGACTGTTCCCTAATGACAGGGTTTCATTTTCTTCACAAGGATGCTGTGAGGAAAATGAGGAATAGCTGTCATGCACCTATGCAGTGCTTGCTGTGTGCCAGGTGCTGTTTTAAGAACTTTAAGTTGGTGAGACAATTCTCTTAGCCTGTTAGAGTCCTGGTAACTATGTCATTGGATGGTAGCTCCTTCTCTAGGAGGAGAAAACGGAAGCACAGTGAAATCATCACTTTCCTGAGGGCCCACAGTAGGACAGGGAGGAGCCCAGTTAGTCAGACTCCTGACAGTTTGTCTGAAACACTCAGTGGTTATAATGAGGAAAACGCATTTGTAATATTTACAGGCATATAGAAAGTAGTGTATAAACCTTCCCTTCCTTTCCCTCCTGTATTCATATGATGCTCACTGACTAAAGGAGACCCTGATTCTAGGCAGTGAAGGATATATATCAATTTAATTATGAAATCAGTTGATTTTGTTGATCTAGGTTACTTGTAGCATCAGGCTTTTGCCAATGGTTAAGAGTCCTTGTTGGAGCCAACTTTGACTTGTATTATGCTTATCCCCCAAATAATGATAAATGTCAGTTTTCAGAACCAGGGCATTTGGAAGAATCCTGTTCATCCTCCATGCCTTCACATACAGAGCCTAATGTTCTCTGCTTCAGAGGATGAACAGAGGCTTTAAGCATTATTTAAATGTTTCAGTTTTCTCTTTATCTCCTCCATGTAGTACTTACTTTCTCAGTCTTCCAGACAGCCTCCCCTGGGCTGACATGAACGTTCCAGTAGCAGATGACGTGGCTGCTGCTGCTGTCACACCAGGAAGTAATTGCCGGGGTCAGCTGCTTATGCTCTGTGGGTCCCCAGGTGTTCCCGTTAGTGTTACTGGCTGCAGTATGTGACAGGAGCCCTCTCTTTTGTGGTAGAAGCTTGCCCAAATGTTTCTCTTACTTCTCCATCCTTGTCCTAGACAAGCAGGTAGAAGCAAGTGAAACCTACCTCGGTCCCTCTGTTCCAGGAAGAACAGATGCAGCAACAAATTCAGGATTTAGAGCGAGCCAGATCATAGCCTGAGGGGCTCATGCTCTGCATCCAAAGCTCCTAGATGATCAGTATCAGATCTAAGCAAGTGCCAGGATCCAGAACTAATCAGTTATTCCAAATCAAGATATGACTTCACCAACTATTAATCATGTCACTGGACTATCCAGCCCCAAATCATGCCAGCCCCTTTTCAGAAGGTGGACACAGCCACACAGTGACTTTTCAGAAGCCTTCCCACTACTGCTCGATAAAAATAACTGAGTTGGTGGCTGCACGAGCCTGAATCTGCACACCTTTGGATGAGCTGTGTATGTATTCTTTTAAGACAGAAACTTCAGTGAGTGTAGGGCTGAGGAGAATGGCTGGTGGGAGCTGTCGGTCTGGAGAGGACAGTGGCTGGAATCCAGGCCCCAGGGAGCAGCCTCGGGAGGCCTGGTTGCCCAGATGACAAGCTTGAATGGTCTCAGTGCCATGGGACTCAGCCTGGCTTTCCTGTTCCCCAGCCCCCCTTCAACTTTTTCTCCTCTAGCACGTTTTTACATTTTGCATTTTGTTTGAATAGCATGTGTAACCACAAACTTGATACTCTGTTTTCCTATGGTGAAAATCATTTACTCTTTTAAAAAATGAATACTGTAATGTACATATTTTTTAAAATAAAAGTACATGCTCCTCCCCTTCCTTGTTATCTTTGCCCTGTTTGTAGTTTGGAATTGTGGGAAGAAATAAGGAACAGAAGTTCACCCCGAATTGTTTCCTCTGGTTCGATACTTGTCAACACTGCATCCTTATTTAGCACAGTGCTTGACACTGAAGCAGGTACTGTTTTTGTCTCCATTTTACATAGGGGGAAACCGAGGCAAAGAGAAGTTAAGAATGGTTACTCAGTAGAGAGTCAAGCCAGGGTTTGAACCTGGCCTGTCTGTCTGTGAACTACTCGTCAGTAATATTTGCATATTAGTATAATTTGTGTGTGTTGCTTCAGTTGTGTCCGACTCTTTGCAACCCCATGGACTATAGCCCGCCAGGCTCCTCTGTCCATGGGATTCTCCAGGCAAGAGTACTGGAATAGGTTGCCATTCCCTTCTGCAGGGGATCTTCCCCACCCAGGGATTGAACATGTGTCTCCTACGTCTCCTGCATGGACAGAAGTATTCTTTGCCACTAGTGCCACCTTCTTACTAATATTATTGATAAAGTCCCGTACCCTTTAGCTTTGTTTGTCGAGAGTTACATTCTTAGGTGGCTTGTCCTGGAATTTTACGTTTACGTATGTGCAGGGTTGCTCCACTGAGTCTAACGTTTTGGACTGTAGAGGGGACTGGTGTGCTCTTTAACTGAAAATCTGCGTGTTTGCCTCCTGAGTGCTCCTCAGTGTCGTAGGCACTGGGGTTACAGCACAATTCGCTGAGCTCCTCCATGGAGCCTGTGTTCTGCTGGAATAAGGAATCAGCATGCGATAGGCCTGGTGAAAAGTGCCTCTAGGAACAGAGTCGTGTGGGGATGCGTCTTTGAGTAGCCCTGGGAAGGCCTCTGCTAAGGTGACAGGAGCAGAGACTTGTATGGAGTGAGACTTGGAGAAATCTGAAAAGTGTGTTAGTCGCTCAGTCCTGTCTGACTCTTTGTGGCCACATGAACTGTAGCCTTGCCAGGTTTCTTTTGCCTGGCAGGGATTCTCCAGGCAAGAATTCTAGAATGGGTAGCCATTCCCTTCTCCAGGGGATCTTCTAGGGATCAAATCCGGATCTCCTGCATCGCCAGTGGATTCTTTATCATCTGAGTCATCAGGGAACTGTGGTATCCTTAACCTGACACCCTGAAGTCACAGATCTGGTAAAGTAAGGTCTAGTTAAATTGTAACTTGTCTGTTGATTCAAGAAATCAGGTTTTCATTTCTGCTCTTCCAACCAAAGTTAAGCTGCATCTCATTCCAACGCGGCATTCATCTGTATTAAATATGTCTTTACATGTTCTTTATGGAAGGTCCAGGTGTATTTTACTTCAAACGCATGCATTTCTAGTACTTATTTCAAAAATACTTTTGTTTTCCTTATCTGAAAATGTATTAATAGAACAGTAAATTTATGTGACTTTTTTTCTTGCTACTGTCTTCTTGAGAGTTTTTTGTCTACTCCTAGGTGAGGTGGTTTAGTACTTGATGTCTTTATGGTCATTTTCAGATAGCCACCTTCATCCAGCTGGTGGTGTTAGCAACTATCCATGCTTAATGCCTCAATCAAATCCAGTGATTAATTTACAACCTGAAGTAATTCTCTTTAGTTTGTTGAAATTAATAATCCCAGATTTGAGTTTATTCCATTTTCTCACTGTTCTTTATGGAGAACTGAATATTAATGTCTGTCTGATTTGGGAGTTTTAACTGCCAGATAAACAAGGAAGTAGCTGTGAATATAGCTCCGTGTTTTCTACAGTCAGACAGACTTAAAGATTGTCAGTATTTATGATCTCTCTCTTAATTGAGGAATTGGTTTTTTAAAATACATGAAATTGATCTTATTGCTCACAGCCTTAAATTACGGCTGTGTCTTCAAGGCG